CCCCCCACCCCCCAACTGCCACATCACAACCATCGAACCCCACAACTACACACTGCACACAACCCACAATCCACAACCACAACACCACAAGACAATCCCACAACCACCCAACCCACAGTCACCACATCACAAACACCCAACCACACCTCCACACACATCCCACAACTACCACACCACAAGACACAATACCAAAACCACCCAACCCTCAACACAACCATCACAACCCACATCAAAGCCACAAAAGCCCAAAACACAACCACCACAACCAACAACATAGTCATCACAACCCACAACACATCCACCGAACCCACAACCACCACACCACAATCACCTAACCACACCACCGCACACATCTCACACTCACCACACCACAAGACACATCATCACAACCACCCAACATCAATCACACCACAAACCACAACACATCTACCACAATACACAACACAACGACCACAACCCACAACCACCACAACACAATTACCCAACTACACGTCCACCCACAACCACCACACCACAAGACAGCACCACAACCACCCAACCCACAACCTCCATATCACAAACCCACAACACAACCACCACAACCCACAACAAAACCACTCAACCCACAATACAAGTGTTCCTCACCACTATACACAGTACCACAACCACCACACCACAAACACCCAACACAACAATCACAACCCACAATACAACTACCACAACCCACAACAAAACCACACAACCATAGTACAAGTATTCCTCACCATTGCACAGCTACATCACTATCACAACACAAGTACTCCTCCCCTCAGTACAACCACAATCATCACAACACTACTTAATTCACAGTAAAAACCATCACCCCATCAACAATAAATGAAATCCAACACTAATGCAAAATCGCATGAATTGAAAAAACCTAAATCGCATGAATTGCAAAATCCTAAATCACATAAATTGCAAAATCCAACAACAGTGAACAACCAGATGAAAATCAATGACCGAATAGAGCTTAGAAAACTATCACAAAATCATAATGCCAGAGAATGGTGGTAGAGAATACTGTGGACCGAGGGAGAATAAAGGAGCCAAGCAGAGACAAATAATAGAGGGTATAGGTAGAGCAAATAAGCCAAACAGAGACAAAACACAACCCATGGATCGGACACGAGGAGGCGAGGAGGGTTCTTACCTCTAGGGTGACAAGAGAGAAGCTCGGTCGCGAGAGTGGGGAGGGAGAAGCTTGGTCTCGAGAGAGGGGAGGGAGGGAGTGGGTTAGTAAAAGGCGGGTGAGAAATTAATACGAAACGTGGGCCGCAGAGTCAAGCCCGCGGCTCGCATTTTGTTCGAATTTTTTAAAAATGCTCCAGCACAGCATTTTCCAAACGGAAAAAAAAAATGCTTCTTTGGGGCCGCGCCGCTCGAAAAACACGGCGCTAAACAGCCTCTATACCTTAGGTTTTTATTTAGTTTGTTTTCTGGAATTAAGAAAGTACCTTTTTTTGGCATCCCCTATGGGAAACACACTTTCTTGTTTATAGTTGCAAGGTTCTTTTTTTCTGTTTCTCTTTATCTGTTTAAGTCTTGCTTTCATCATTTGAGGCTTTCATTTAGCGTCTTCTCCATTCTCTCATTCTCTTTATCCACTTGTTCTATTCCATATTGCTTAGCGTGTTGGTTGAGAGTTCAGGCTTCAACTAAAAAGTCCAGGGTTTATGGCCTTGTATATGAGGTCTCTGTGTGTTTGATATTATATTCACTTAGATATCCTTCTCTTTATCCACCTTTTCTATTCCAAATTCATATTTTCTCAACAGTCAATTACTTACAGCTCTGATAATCCTTGCTTTTATTGCACCACTCATCTTTTAATCGGTCATGCTATTAGCCCATGTTAGTTGTTTGGTTTGGTGATGTTTCAAAAAATAATTTCAGCAATTTTGCATAAGTTTTACATTTTAATTTTGGTCAAGTATACCAACATTTTGATTTCAAACCATCTAATTGATAATATAAATGGCAATGGAATGAAATATGAATACACATGTATCATTCTACATTACATTTTTTAAACAAGAGAGAACCAAGCAAACTGCATTTGGTAGATGTACAGCTATATGAATAACATAGCTGGCCATTTAGCACAATTAACCAAATAATATTAAACCTAACAACCCACAACTTTTTTGCATACACATGATCTTTTTTGTATGTAGAATAAAATGTTCTTACCCTGGGGTCAGCACTTACATACTGATTCCCATTCTCTATTGATACTTGAAACTTGATAATACAAACTCACCCTCCAGTCCCCAACGAGAGTTTCTACTTCTTGACTTTGATTAAATATTTACTTGCTAATTCCCCATTGGAAATAAATAGCACTCACTATTCTACACCTCCTTCTAAGTCTATAGAGTTAGGAGTTTGCATTGGTTTTGTTGATCTCGCCGGTCAACGCCAATAAGTACGGTGTGGTTGCCTAGCACACCACATCTATTGGGGGTCCATTTGTTAACCTCACTTTTGGTTGAGGTTTAGTTTTTCCTCTTTAGTTGCCCAAAGTCTAGCCATAAGACTTTCCTGTTGACTATTCTTAGAAAACTAAAAAAGAAACCCTCACCATTAGAAATTCTACATTCCTCCTTGCTCAACTTGAAGTTCCACATATTGGTCCTAACCTCTAGCACTTAGTAGGTGGGGTCAATATAAAGGAGATCAAGGTGAGTTCCCATAGGACAGCTTTCTCTTAGGGTTGACCGTGGATTATGAACGATATCATTTTTTTGACAGAAATTAATTGGTCTAATTAATTATGTTTTATTAAAGTTTTGAATATCATAATTGTTGAAAGTTTGTGTAAACAGAGTTGCATGGTTCAGTTTTTTTTTTTTTCTTAAGACTTGCTCTTAACATTTTTGTAATGTTCAATCTGCCTGCCAATTTACTTTTTGATATGTATCATATGCTTCTTAGCCTGTCACCAACTAAATATAAATTTTCTTTTCATTTTGTTCTGAGATATCTAATTGTTTTTTCTTGTCATAATGATTGCTAGCTGGTGGCTATTTCAAATCCTTAACGAGGTTTCAGAACTCCAATTTGCAGGAAAAGGGACATCCTTTCTCTTCAAGGATGCCGTATTCAGCATTGGAATTTTAGTACCTGTTCTATTAAGTGCGGTCAACCTTCCAATTTAGCTACCAGTTCAGTTAAATTAAAACATGGTTTGACTATGGTGGATAAGGCATCTTATCAGCAGGTACAATCTTCATTTTCTGGTCTCATGAATGGCTGGGAAAAGGATAATGAAAGAGTTGGGTATAACAGTAAGAATGATAGATCGCAAGCACATAGATCGCCAGCAATAAAAGGTGATGGCAAAAATGCTTTAAACACTTTAAGAAACTCGTCTTCCAATCCATACTTAGGGAGTTCTAGAAAAGCATGGCGGCAAATAGCGGATGAATGGGAGCAACAGAAGGCTCAATATTCTGTAAATAATGCAATGCCTGTAGAGGCTCCAGATATTGTTCATGATGTGGAAAAGGAAGATGCTGAAAGAAACATATTACAAGAGCGAAGCTCTTCTGAGATATTTCCTTCTTTAACTTATAACTCTGATCCATTTGTCCAACAATCTGCACACTTATTTGTTGGGGAAACTACTGAGCTGCCATGCAATCCAAAAGAATGTGATACTCACAGTGAGGAACGTAAGCGGAGACTTACTAAAATATATGACAAAGTCGTAGTGGTTGATAATGTCAGTACTGCAGAGGAAGTTGTTTGCATGCTTACCACAAAGTATAGGAATCATATACATGCATGTGATACTGAGGCAAGTAATCCGGACGGTGTTTTATAATCTCCTCTGTGATAGACTTTGCCAGAAGTTTCTTATGATTGAACTAAATGATGTTTAGGACGTTATCATATGCCATCACTTATATTGCTTAATTTCTTTCTGTCACTCTTTTAACATAGTTGAATCTATTTGCAGAATTGATAAATTATTCTTAATGCATAATTTGTAAAATGAATAATTAATTAGAACGTTGGCCAGGCAAGTTTGTTATGCTCAACACTTTCTCTTTGTTTGAAATGTATTATGTACATCGTGGGGTTGCAATATTTTTTGAAACAAGGAATTGTTGTGTACAACCATTCTTTCTTGAGCTCGATTCATGGCTGGAAAGAAAATATCATTGACCTGGACAATGTAATATCTAAAGCATATTACTGAATGATCTTGCTGTTCTTCATATTACTGAATGATCATGCCGCCCCTGAATGTTGTTGCAGCCGATTTGCTGAAATTGATTTGAAATAACAAAATTTCACCAAAGATCATTGATTACACAGATTTTTTTATCACCTGAATGTCTGGCAGATCATTTTAAACCTGTTATTTAAAGTGTTGTGGTTCGTTGGCAAAGAAAGTTGTGATCTTGATATGCATGACTAAAATTGTAGTTTTCATAAAGTTTTTACAATATAATCGAATCTCTTAATCTTATTTAGTATTTAAACACTTAATCAATCTATTAATTAGACACATCTAAATTCCATAAAAACACTTGTCTAGGATGCTATCTAAGCTGCTTTTTTGAGAACTTTCATCTTTCCGGCCCATGGATTTTTTTTCTCTCAAGTTAAACACCCTAAACTGTTTCAGCTTTTCAAGGGAGCAAAACAAGGCAATTGGAAGTTGTGCCGAACAGAGACTAAAGGATGTACTGTTTAGGAAGCGTGAAAGAACAAAGTTAAAGTAGGGGATGAGACTTTGTAGTTTATATTAGCAATGTTTTTAACTCTTTGCCTTTATGAATACTGTAAGTAACAGCGTAACTTATAACAGCTTAGTTAGCTGCTTATCTTTAGGTCAATTAATGGGATTAATCCAGTAAACAGTAGTTGTTTGATGCAATTGCTTTCAACCTGACCTTTTATTTAACCTATATATAAGCTCCCTCCTTGATTTTCATCATCCTCTTAGTTTCAATTCATTTCACCATCTTGGTTTTTCTTTTTTTTTTTGGCAGGTAGCGAAAATTGATGTTAAGCAGGAGACTCCCGTTGACCATGGAGAGATTATATGTTTCAGCATCTATTCTGGGCCTCAAGCTGAGTTTGGGAATGGAAAATCTTATATTTGGGTGGATGTGCTTGATGGTGGACGCGATGTCTTGATGAAATTTGCTCCTTTTTTTGAAGACCAAACGATTAAAAAGGTATTTTGTTGTTTCATGGATTATTATATGTAGAATCTTTTCAAAAAAGTTAGTTTTTTGTGTATTTTAACTTTTTTAATGTCACGACCTATTCTGGAGCTTAGAATTAACCAAGACAGAAACGAACGCTCAAACGGTGTAAATAAATTTTCTTTTATTCTATTTTTATTACTAACAATTTCCTACTAAAAAATTTAGAAAAGAGTCACTAAAGAAATCAATTAAAATTACAAGCATAATTTTTACTTTTCTGATTGTTGTTCTCAACTTTTATAAATGTTTTCTCCTCTTCTATTCATTCAGCTTAAAAGCTTAAAAGCTAAAAAAAAAATTAAACAACATAATAAATTATTGCAAGACAACCAGAAAATAATTTTTACTTTTCTGATTGTTGTTCTCATCTTTTATAAATGTTTTCTCCTCTTCTATTCATTTAGCTTAAAAGCTTAAAAGCTAAAAAAAAAAAATAAACAACATAATAAATTATTGCAAGACAACCAGAAGTAATTACACTTCTAAATTACATTAACCCAAGGAACAAAAATCAGTATGCATGTTGGCTTTATATATATACAAGAAATCATATAATATGTCAGTCTTTCATATTTTTATAAGAAATTATATAAATGCTAATGCATGTATCAATGACCTTTACTCAATGAAAAAAATTCTAAACTTCTTTATGAATTAATTTAGTTTTACTTTTACTTTATACTTTTTATATATACATTTGTCTCTTAGAGATTCACCATCAACAAAATTTAACACACCCTTGACCGATATTATTCCGTCGGCTTAACGGTTGGTGATTTAATTATCACAATTGTATAAGATGGAAATACCCGTACTTGCCCTTGCCGATATTATCCTGTCGACACAGCGGTTAGCGATTTAAACACCATAATTGTCTGAGGAGATAAGCTCTGGTTAACTTGCTCCTAGTTGATATTCTCCCGTCGCACAACGGTTAGTGATCTAACCCACATCCATGTAGAGTGGTAGAAAAACTAGGTGTGCCTGTACACTAACATCTCTTGCCTGTATCATTAGGGGGTGAACTCTTCTGAACAAATGTATACAAGCATTCATATATCAGTCATTTCTTTCTTCAAAATATACATTTTTTAAGAATCTTCATGAATCCACTAACATGCATACTTATTCTGCTATGCAACTGATCATTATGCACATCTCTTATATCATTCATATTTCTTATCTCATGTATATATCTTATATCATGCATATCTCTCATGGTCTATCTCGTAAATCATGTCTATCATTCATATCAAGTATTTAATGCATATCTTTCATATATAACTTTCCTACCTAACAATATGAAGAATTTGATTAAATTAAAACATACATGGAGTCAAACATACATTTTAATTAAAAAAAGATTATTGGAAATTAGAAACGTAATCACTCACCTCGGTTGTCACGCTAGACTTTTAATCTTTGGTAACTAGCTGGATGTTGCAGTAATTTTTATATTAATCTTAATAACCTATATAACAAAATCAAACTTTAAGATTTAAACAATTTTCATTAATTAAATATTCTTCTTAGCTTATGATTAATTTACCTGAATTTATGGAGTTAACTTAGGAATAGTTTCTGCACGCTTGCCTTGAACTCGCCGCCTCAAGTAATTAATCTAGAATCTGTAAACAACTTCAGATTTAAAGATATCTTGGCTCAAATAAATTTAATGCAAAACATAATGGATTTTTACGACACTACCCAACCTTCTCCAAAAATGGTCAAATCTCCTTCCCTCTTCTTTCTATCATTGCTTGCTTCTCCCTTAACAAGGGTTGTCAAAAAAAATTGTTCGCGAACAGCTCGTGTTCGACTCGTTAGTTAATGAGCCAAACATGAACAAATGTTTTAAGCTCGAATTATAAATGAGCCGAACATGAACAACCCTTTTGTTCGCCCGTGTTTGATTCGTTTTAACGTGAAATAAACAAATTATATATATATATTTTATATAATAATATATATATTATTTATATTTAAAGTTTAAATCATAATAGCTAGTGTGGTTATGTGATTCTAAGCATTCTATTGTATAGAGTTGGTGCAGTTTCAAATCCAACACCCTAAAATCTATTTTTTTTTTCCAATTAATTTTAGTGAGCTAGTTTCGAGTCGAAATCGAGCTGAACACAAACAAAAATATTTAAATCGAGTCGAACATGATCACACTATTCATAAGCCGATTTTGAAAACGAGAAATTTCGATTGAGTCAAGCCTGAGCTCGCTCAAGCTCAGCTCATTTACAACCCTACTCTTAACCTTCTTGATCTCATGCTAAAAGCCCTTACAAAAATCTACAAACCAATTACTTCGCTTCCGACAAAGCCTCGTCTCCCCTACGATAACTAAAAATGAAAAAAATGTAGAATTCGTGATAAATCTCAAAATAAAAGTGTCAGGAAGAGAATGAATGTCTAGAATATCACAAAAATGAGTTTCACACTTACTGATTTTGTCCCCTAAGTTAGAACCGCAAGCTGTGGCAATCTACGAGCCGCTCTCCTACTGCGGATCCAAGCTGTGATCTAGTGCCACGATCACAGCTCTCGCGGGAACCTTCTGCCGAGCGCGATCAAACAAGGAGGGAGGGAGGGGCGTACGAGCGAAATTGAAAGTGGAAAAAAGGGATTGAAGGCTCTAGAATGAGGATTTCACCATTCGACGCATACAGAGGATTAAAATCGCTAGATAAGTTGGTGGGAAACAATAAAGCGGGATTATGGAGTGTTAATTAAGGGTTAAATAAGTTTAATTAAACTTATAACTTCTAATTTTTAAATCTTTCAATATATTCATAATTACATATTGAATTGATAATTTTGATGTGTAGAATTTTGTAAAATTTTTTCAGTTGAAATCAGAGGGTTAAAAAATTGGGTATAGTTTTTGTAAAAAATTTTTACCTAATTTCACAAAACTGACTATTACAATCTCCCCTTTTCAAAATTCTTGAACTTCACATTAATTATATATTTTATGAGAATAACACATAAAGTGATTACAAAAGCCTATTTCTTATTAAGTGGTAACTAAGTCATATATTATAAACTATACATCTAATAGATCCAACATAACACCCAAACAATGATTCATCAATCAAACTCTATGCATCAACATCAGTTGCAACATGCTCTTTTGGCCTGTGATAAATTAAGGAATAAACCCTTCTGAGAATATCTTGCTTTGGTAGCTCACAACAAGTTACGGTGTCAACTTCAATTATGCTCTGCCGACCACTTGTAAAAGTAAATCCTTTCTGAAAATTCCTCTGAATTGGATTTCTTCTTGGGTTAATATTTGATGTGGATCTTTGATCAGACTTGGAGGAGTTTCTCTTCTAACTTCCAGGTTATCTGCATAAGTAACACACCTTCAACCAAAATAAACATTCACTACGGTGTTGCTTTCTCGGGTTAATATTTGATGTGGATCTTTGATCAGACTTAGAGGAGTTTCTCCTCTAACTTCCAGGTTATCTGCATAAGTAACACACCTTTAACCAAAATAAACATTCACTACGATGTTGCTTTCCACATTGGAAGACACAACAACTTCGAGCAATGCGTGCATCTTGTGTGAAAAAGGAGTTGGTAAGAGAAGGAACCGCATGGCCTAGCTGAAAGAGGAAGCGAGTGCGAGAGAAGTTTTCTACCCTTGGGAAGGCACAACTCGATCCTAAGCGATCGAGCCGAAGGAGAAGGAAAGGGAGAGCGGGCGTAGGAAGAGGAAATTTGTGCTGAGGCCCGAGCATGGGGGAGAGGTAAGACTTATTAAGGCTTATATTTTAATAAACATATTATTTAGTTTGTTAAATTGTAATAATACCTTTAAGTATTGTAATACTATTAACATGAAAGATTTTTTGAAATATAAAGATAAAATTTACAATTACTTAGTTAAATTAGAGAGGATCTTAATTGGATATTGAATAAAATTTAATATAAATCATAAATGTTGATTAAATTGTAGTTTTGATTGTCATATTCTGACAACATAAATTTTTAAGTAAAAGTTTCTAATCAACATATAAAATAACATAAGTAATAAAAATACTAATTAAACATAATTAATGACATAAATTTTTTTTTGAGAATATTATAGGGAACCAACTATTGGAGATAAAAATTAAATGTGTATGAAAATTTATGAAAGTCATACGGCTTTGAGGCGAGTACTTGCACTTTCAAATTATAGTAGTATTTGGTTTCTTCTTAATTGAAAACACTATTAATTATTTAGATAAATTTTATCGGCTCTTTAATTTAATTTGATCGTGTTAAGTTATATGTCACTAACATTTGTATACGTCCATGAAATGCATAATTCAGATTATTATATTATATACTGAATATTATGGAAAAAAATGAGATATACTATTTTGTTTGCTAGCATGTGCATGTTTGACTATAATGTAGCACCCCTTTATGGTAATAATGGAGAAACACTATGGTACCCGTGCATATAAATAAAAAAATGATATTGATATTGAAGTATCTTAAACGGTATAAATTTTAGATGTTACTTCTATGATAGATGTATACATATTAAAAAGATATTGATATGTAAATGATACAGTAAGACATAGTGAATATTTAGAATTTCATTGAATGATCATATTAGATATTACAACCTTCACATTTTCTTAGATTGATTTACATAAATTCTAATTATCCTGCATATTGTCTTCTTTATCATTGTATTACTAGAATTTAGGAGTATGAGTATTCACAGATTATGATTAGCTTATTGTTGTTCAAACATAATTTTTTTAAGTTTAATTATTTGGTTAAAAAACGAGCAATCGAAAGGAAAATGTTTATAGAAGAAACAAATAACCAGAAATGAGGTAAATTTAACTTTACTACTTATTCTTTTTATATAGTGGCTCTTTTATTTATTAAAATGTTAGTTAGAGAAAATGAATGTGGAAAAATTTAATTCCCACCTTCTGACTATCTGTTCCCGCCTTGGTAATCCCAAGCTCCAAGCTGGGTCTTGACAAAAGTGATATCCAGGTTTAAGCTTAATTAATGCTATATTGATGAAAAAACAAATACTGTAATTATAGAAATTTTTTTAATAATAATAAAATTGAAAAAATAAGTTAACTCTATTTAATATTTATATATATTCAGGGAAATGGATGCACCCAAGATTTTAGAAGAATCGAGTTTGTTAGAAAATGAAAAAATACTGCCTGCAGTAAATGTGGATACAAATGCCTTGACCCAAATGATGGCGACGATGACACAATTGCTCCAAGAGTCCAGCCTGTAGATTGGTGGGAATGAGATAGTTACGTGGATAAGTACTTACATATATTTGATGATTTGCGTCCACCATTGTTTGAAGAAGCTGAAGATTCGATTGAAGTAGAGAACTGATTAATGCAAATTGAGAAAATATTAGATAGTATAATCTGTCCGGATGAAAGAAGCGTGTCATTGGCTACATTTCTGCTGGATAGAAAAGTAAAAAGATGGTGACATGGGCAGCGTCATGACAGGATAGGGGACATAGCCAACATGATGGTAAGTTGGGAGGAGTTTGTGGAGCTATTCACAGAGTGGTTTATATCTCTATTCTTTCAAAAAATAATTTAGGAGAAATTTATTAGATTGGTACAAAAAAAGACAGTCATGCAGTATGAAGAAAAATTCATTGCATTATTGAGATATGCTTCACAACTGATAGTTATTGCAGAAGAGAAATGTTACATATTTCTTTGGTGTTTGAAAAATTCAATTATGTAGTCACTAGTGCCACTTGTGATTAATGATTATTTAATGTCAGTTGAGCGGGCTAGAAGAATAAAGATTGATTATTAGCTTACTCCGAAGCATATGGAGATGCATAAAAGGATGAGCGTTGATGAAGGGGAGCATGTGGATCAATTAGACAGATCCATTAGGAAGAAGCCCAGTTCATTTCTGATGGATTCTATGGTGGCACTTCTCGTAATACTATACTTGTGCCAAATATGGAAATCATAAAGGTGAATTTGTGGCGGGTGTTCATACATGTTATTGGTGTCGTCAACCTAGTCACGTAGCTAGATATTGCTCCTCTTGGCCAAAAAACCTCAGACGAATAGAAATCAGGTGGAGTTTCTTCACATAAGATTGCATGTGGGCAGAGAAGGATGGAGTATATAGTTTCAGCTCCTGCTCAAATTCAACCAAGGTAGCCAGTTCGAACTCGAATTTATTCTCTTATTCATAGTGAGCCTGAAGAATCTACTACTGTCGATGTTTATAGGGTCTAATGAGTGCGGTATTTTTCTTACATATAAGGGTAACTTTTCTCTCATATTTTCTTGTTTCAGTAACTGCGTGTTATTTTAGCTGTCACTTTTTTTGAGTTATCCTTCTATCATATTTTTATTTTACAGTAGCTCTTTTTCATCTTAATGAATAACCACTAGTTTTTTTTTTTATGATAATCACAGATAGTTAATGTTCACTTGCTTTATGAGAGATGTCTCGTGAAGGTTTTAAATTTCAAGGACGAAATTTTTGTTAGTTGAGGAGATTATAATGCTCGTTCCAACAGTTCGTAAGCTGCAACGAAGCATTTCATATGCTGGAATCGGAATCGAAGTGAAGGAATCAATACACGATTTAGATAGAGACAAAGGGAGGAAGATGACGAAAATAGACAGAGAGAGAAGAGTCAAGAGAGATTGAAAGAGTGAAATAAAGTGAAAGGAAGAGGTGGAAGTAACTCATCTGTGTGTATGGCAAGAAGATAACAATTCCTACTAGAAGGATTGGAAGCCATGACATGAAGCATCAACATCACCTTCCAGCACTGTGTGCGTCTTGTGTGAAGGAGAATAGTTGAATTGAGCGACTTCATGTATGAGAGGGAAGTCCACGCCTTAGCCGAAAGAGGAGAAGAAAAAAGAAGAGGCGAGTGCGAGAGAAGTTTCCTATGCTTTGAAAGGCATGATCGGCTAAATGAGGAGTTCTATGTGCAAAGATGCTCGATCCCGAGTGATCGAGCCGAAGGAGAAGGAAAAGGAGCAAGTGTGTGGGAGAAGTAAGAGTTATTAAGGTTTATATTTTAATTAAATATCTTATTAGTTTATATATAAATGTATTAATTCCAATAATTATTATAATATTTATAGTATGAAAGATTTATTTGAAATATGAAAATAAAGTTTATAATTTCTTATTTATATTAGACTGGTATTAATTGAATGTTGAATAAAAATTAATATAAATCATAAGTGTTGATTAAGTTGTAGTTTTGATAATCAAATTAAAGTAATATAAATATTTAAAATAAAAGTTTCTAATCAATAATTAAAATAACATAAATAATTAAAACAATAATCAAACATAATTAATGAAATGCTTATAAATTTTTTTTATAATATTATATGTAGCTAACTCTTAGAGAAAAGTATTAAACATGTTTGATGATTTAAAACAAGTCTTATAGTTTTGAGGTGAGTACTTTTACTTTTAAACTATAATAATATTTGATTTCTTCCAATTCTGACTCGCTCTTAATTGTTTAGATAGATTTTATCTACTCTTTAAGTTGATTTGATCATATTGAATTATGTCATTGACATTCGTATATGTTCATCAAATGCATAATTTAGGTTATTAAAATACATAGTGAATGTTATGGAAAGAAAATAATAATGAGATTTACTATTTTGATTGCTTGCATATGCATGCTTGCCTATGATGGATCACTCTATTATGATTTTAGGGGGGAACGTTAAGGTACTCGTGCAAGTAAATGAAAATTGATATTAATATTGATGTACCTTAAATGATACAAATTTTAGACGATTCTCTTGTGACGAATGTATACAAATTAAAACAATATTGATATGTAAATGATAAAGTAACTCATAGTAAGTGTTTAGAATTACATTGAATGATCATATTAAATATTACAACCTTTCAAAGGCTCTTATATTGATTTACGTAAAGTCTAATTTTTATGTATATTGTCTTCTTTATCATTGTATTACTATAATTTCTGAGTATGAATATTCACTGCTATTATTAGCTAACTGTTGTTTCAAACTAATTTTTTAGATTTAATTAATTAATTAAAAGATGAGCAATAGAAGAGAAAATATTTTTAAAAGACGTAAGTAATCAGAAATGATATAAATTTAACTGTACTATATATATTTTTTTTATATAGTGGCTCTTTCATTTGTTAAGATGTTAGTTATAGAAAATGAATGTGGAAAAATTTAATTCTCATTGCCTGACAGTCTGTTTTCGCCTTGGTTAATTCCAAGTCTCGTGCCGGGTCATGACATATAACAAACTCTTGCATATTTCTCTCTACAATCAAATTCATGTTTAATTTATTTTATTAATTTTGATATGGGTATTATGCATGATTGTTTACCTAAATTTAGCCCGCATCTTTTTCATCCCATCTCGAGCTATCAATCATATTTTAACTGCATATCTATATTGTTTTATATTTATATTTGATGATACACTCGCATGGTTCTAGTTGTTTTTGGTTATATTCATATGGAATTCTGAAATATAAAATTGTAATATGTTGGTTATCTTCTTTGATTTTAGGTTTGGCATAACTATAGCTTTGATCGTCATATTATGGAGAACTACGGAGTTAAGGTTTCTGGGTTTCATGCCGATACCATGCACCTTGCAAGACTTTGGGATTCTTCAAGAAGAATTGATGGTGGATATTCGCTTGAAGCCCTTACGAGTGATCCAATTGTCATGTCCGGAACTGGGTTTCACACTAACGATGAATTTATGGGGAAGATATCTATGAAGTCACTATTTGGGAAGAGAAAAGTGAAAAAAGATGGTTCAGAAGGCAAATCCATTACGATTGCTCCAGTCGAGCTTCTTCAAAGGGAAGAAACTATACCATGGATTTGCTATTCTGTTTCAGATTCTATAAACACACTTAGACTTTATGAAAGTTTAAAGGCAAAGTTGGAGTCTATGGACTGGGTTTTTGATGGTGTTTGGAAAGGTTCGATGTATGAATTTTATGAAGAATACTGGCGCCCATTTGGTAACCTCTTAGCTAACATGGAAGCTGAAGGACTGCTTGTTGATCGCGGCTATCTTTCAAACGTAGAAAAAGTTGCTGTCGCTGAACAAGAGGTCGCTGCTGATAAATTCCGTAGTTGGGCTTCCAAGTATTGTCCTGATGCAAAATTCATGAATGTAGGAAGTGATGCTCAAATCCGTCAGCTTTTTTTTGGCGGAGCAGCTAACAGGTAGATACTTCTGATGCATATGTTTCTAACGTTATATTCATTTATGTACTTACTGATGCATATGGTGCTAGTGTTGTCTTCATTTTTTTAAGAGGTGTTATCTTTTATGTTTTGAATGCAATATCGGTAGACTCTGTTTTAATGTTGCTGTCAAAAGTAGTACTTACTCAGTTTTTAATTTGGCTGTACTCGCCTCCTCGGCATTTTGTCGATAATTACCTCCTGTAGTTTGTTTAGTGCATGGGTATATGCTAAACGATTCAGGAAGTTTTTATTTATTTTGAGTTTTCTAGTTCAAATATCATAGAAAATTAAATATTTTCACCTATTAAAAAGAAATTAATTTTCTTTGAGATGACATGCGAGTACTTGATGAATAGGTGTTGATATTAATAGGTTACATGCTAAAAGTATTGGAAGTGATAAATGAGGTATCATTTGGACTAGAAACCAGGGTTTTGAATAGATAGTTGTTGTTGATGTTTCTTTGTTCAAAACAATGAGCACTTTCATGTAAGATCCTTAAGATTAGGGCTGTGATTATTATGCTAGATGAGGCTCCTAAATTAAACATGGCTTTGGTCAAAAAAACATGAAAGCACATGAGGGTTTTACAACTTGAGGAATGAGTTTACGAGAGAAATAGGGAATATTGGCTCTTGCAATCTTCTGATATGATTGCCTGGATATTGAGGCATCTAATTCTTCAACCATAGAGATGTGTGATACAGTCAGTCAACAATGGGGCCTACATTCCTAAACAACCATAGAGAATGTTGAAAGCGCTTCCAAAGTGTGGGGCTTGAACACTTGCCTGGTGCAATGATGCTTGCAAGCTTACACATTTGAAAAGTATATACATCCTTTAAAATTTATATTTATTCAAGATGGGTATAGACGGTTGGACGGTGAAATTTAATTTCTATTACTAACTAATAAAAGTAATCATCTAAATAATCAAAAGGGTTGTTAATGATAAAAATTAAATCAGTTTAACTGTAGCAACTTTGAATGTATAAATACTTTCCCTGTTTTTATAAATACTTTTTCTCTTATTGAGTTGTATCTTTTATAAATATTCACTTTTATACTACTCATTTTTTAGCTTAAGATTTATATCTGAAAGGGTTTACTTAAATTTGATAAGTTATTAAAAACTCAATGAATAATCATGTCTCTAAGCTATATTAATAAAACAAAAATAGAAATTGATATTGGAGTTGACCCAAACCATAATAGTAAAGCAAATATTATTACTTGAAGCAACTAGAAAGTGAAATTACAATAGACACGACATGAACTCACGTTAAGGCTCGACCCATGGGTGGTGGAGGTTGCCTAGGTGGTTGGGGAGCTAAGGTAGATGGCTGAAATGGGATTGTAGATGGTTGGGACCGCTAAAGGAGGGGCTAGAATCGTTTTGGGAGCAAGGCGGAATGCTGAGACAACAAGGACCTTAGGTGAGGTGGTGAACAGGGCAGTGAGGCACAATAGCCAAGTGACAACGTGAAAACAACAGGTTTACTATTTTCCGGATGAAGGCAATGAAGGGAAGAAGCGGGGAGTGGGGGATGGGTGGACGAGGAGGGCTACGGTACAGCAAAGAGCGGCTGTTTGAAAGGGTGGCAGCGTGCAAAACCGGCTGGAATGGGTAGATTGTTGTGAAAAACAGTAAAAGCTGTTGTCTTGGGGGTGACTGCTGCTACATAGAGCGTCAGAGTGCGATGGGGGAAGGTTAGATCACCATCTGTAAATTAAGATACAACCTAAGTACTTTTTGAAACTCTAAGATACAATTTTCAAAGGGAAGAAGAGACGTCCGCGGCTTTCCCGATACAAAACACAAAAAAATGACTTCCGAACTCTAATATAACACATATATAGGGTTAGCTACAAAAGAACTAAGAATAATAAAAAATAAAGCATAAAAAAGGAAAACAGGGTTATTTCGTCCCGTCTCCCACCATATCTATTTATACGGTACTGTAACAGCTATAGTACCACGGTATTTCATTCTATTTTTTTGGCGATAAACTACCGCGTCAGAGTCAATATGCTTGCTAGTCAAATACAATAAACCAGTATAGAATTATCTCGCAAGTAATTTAATTTGAATGATCATTTAATAAGTTTCAAATATTCTATTTTATAGTACAACATTTTATTTCAAAATATCTCGCCTCACCCTTAAAACTCAAAGTCCCAACCCGTTGCGCTCTTCCCATCATTTTTGAATACATTCGCTGCTGCTGGCTTGTCAATTGGCGATTGTTGCCGTCGTCACCTGCTGGCTTGTCAATTGGCGATTGTTGCCGTCGTCACCGTAGATGTCACTGATAAACTGTAGCCTCAGTCAATTAAATTCTAGAATAGCAGTTTCAAATAACCATGGAGAAAAGATAGGCTTTGAGTAATTTTGAAATTGGAAAGCCACTCGGAAGAGGAAAATTTGGTCACATCTTTTTGGCCAGAGAAAATAAGAGTAATCATGTAGCGTCAATAAAAGTTCTTTTTAAGAGTCAGCTAAAGCAATCCCATGTTGAGCATCAGCTTCGGCGAGAAGTAAAAATACAAAGTCATCTCAGACTTACAAATATACTAGTTTATATGGGTATTTCTATGATCAGACAAGAGTTTATTTGATATTAGAGCATGCTTCAAAAGGAGAGCTTTACAAAGAACTTCAGAAGTGCAAATATTTCGGTGAGAAGCAAGCAGCAACGTATATTGCATCATTGGCTCGAGCTCTTATCTACTTACATGTCATTCACCGAGATATCAAGCCTGAGAATCTACTACTAGGAGCACAGAGCAATGTAGCGATTGCGGATTTTGGGTTGTCAGTTCACACGTTTAATCGCAGAAAGACCATGTGTGACACTTTAGAAAATCTACTACTAGGAGCACAGAGCAAAGTAGCGATTGCAGATTTTGGGTTGTCAGTTCACATGTTTAATCGCAGAAAGACCATGTGTGACACTTTAGATTACTTGCCACCTGAAATGGTTGAAAGTGTAGAGCATGATGCTGGTATAGACTTTGGAGCTTGGGTGTGCTGTGCTATGAGTTCCTTTATGGTGTGCCGTCGTTTGAGTCCAAGGAACACTCTGATACATACAGAAGAATTGTCGAAATTGATATGATGTTTCCCTTAAATCCCGTAGTGTCTCCAACTGCGAAGGACTTAATAAACAAGATGCTTGTGAAAGAATCCTCACAATGTCTACCACTCCACAAGCTACTTGAGCATCCATGGATTATTCAAAATGTTGATCCTTCTTGAAACTTGATCTTTTGGTATAAAGGTGAGTCCTTCAAGCACATTAATGACATTGTTGGAACTAGTAGATTAGGAATTCGGAAGCTGATTCTCGATTCACATTACTATTTTGTTTGTCAAAAGGAGGAAAAGCTGCTATCTTTGTATTGTTGTAGAATTATTGATTCTCCTGTCTTAAAATTGGTTTAGTTTGAAATATTGATTTTGGTTTTAGAACCTTTAATTGACTTTCATTCCAAGTCAGTGTTCCACCCCAAACAAGTAGTTTTATTGTGACAAGAATTAAGGGTCTTTTTGGGATATATATATATATAATATATGGCGTCCTCTTCTCCCTCTATCGACTCTGCTAGGGTTTCGACTCATGGCGAACCCTAGCAACTGTTATGACGTTTCACATCAGATCCTAGCTGCGCCTTCTCCAGCGTCGTCTTCTCCTCACTGTGTCTTCTCTGTCATTGTAGGCTCGCGTCTTCTGCTTCGACGTCGATTGCGGCTCGCATCTTTCTGCGTCTCGCGAACGTGTGTCGTCTGCTTTGCACATTCAACTTATTCCAGTGATTGCCGCTCGCATCTTGGAATACACAACTTATTCCGGTGAAACAAGTACCCATCAGCTCTGTGGTACTGCTCGAGAAGCTTCTTTTGACATTGCTCCCAGATCCCTCTGAAATCTTCGTTTGTCTCGTAAATCTCCTTCACCATCTCATATCCTTCATATCGTGTCTGCATTGAAGTGATCAGCAAAGGACGACGGCTCTGTACATCTATTACTCGGTTCTGGCTCGCTGCCTTGTGACGAAGCTGAAAACTCCACTTAAGATGCATACTGAGCCTTCATTTTTTTTTGGCTGTTCAAGAATTTTAAAGTCTCATGATCCATGAACAACGCGAACTCGTTCATCACTAGGTAGTGACTACAGTGATTAAGTGCTCTCATAATCGCATAGAACTCCTTGTTGTACATCGAATATTTCCTCCTACACTCATCTAAATTTTCACTGAAGAATGCTATGGGGTGGCATTCCACTGCTATGATCGTCTCATTGGAGGCATCAGACTCCACCTCGTACAACTAATTGAGTTTTGGTAATGTAAATTTGGTGCTTGAGTCACCTTCTCTTTTAGTGCGTTGTAACTGGTCTGAGCTGAGTCTGTCCACTAGAACTTCTCCCCTTTCAAAGGCTCTGTAGAGGGAGCGTTGATGGTATAAAGCAACTGATGAATCACCTGCAGAATGATGCGAACCCCAAAAACTGTCCAAGCTTATTGAAAGAATGAGGTGCAGTTCAACTCACAATGGCCTCGTTCTTTGTAAGATCCATCTGAATGCTTACATTACATACAACATAGCCCAAAAAGCATACGCGTGCTGTCAGGAATTGACACTTCGTTAGATGTATGTATAGCTTTTTTGATCACAAAACCTCTAAGGATGTCCTCATGTTAAGTGCTCTTCGGATCTGCTGCATGCCAGAATATTATTCAAGTATGCCACTAAGAACTTCATGAAGTGAGTTTGGAAGAGCTAATTAATCAGCTTCATGAATGTGTTAGGCGCATTAGATAACTCGATAGACACGACTATCCACTCGTATAATCCATCTGAGGTCTTAAAAGCGTTCTTCCTCTCGTCCCCTAGTTTCAAGCTGATCTAATGGTACCCGCTGCGTAAGCCGATCTTAGAAAGGACAATAACTCAGTGCAACTGATCTACGAG